TATGTTAAATTTAAATTTAAAATTCAATTTTTATATACATATTATGAATCAAATAATAATAATATATATATTATTAATATATATAAAATTTATTATTATATATATATATATATATATATATATATATATATATATATAATATACACGTACGCGCGCACATACACGCTAGGAAGTGGTAGCATTTGTAAATCCAATAAAAATATGTCCCTTTAACTAAGGAAATGGTAGTAAGATAAATAGTACTAATAGTGTGTTTGGATTGTGAATTATTAGAGATATTTTTACTGTAATACTTTTTGTGATGTAATGTATGTGAGATAAAAAGGTAATTGGGAAGGTAAAAAGGTGTATTGGAAATTGTAATGATGATGTAAACAAATAAATTTTGAGAAATAAAGCCCAATCCAAACAAAGCCTTAGTAGCAAGTCAAAAATCACGTGTCCAGCTCAGCTGCAAAGAAGAGAGTGCCAGCATTGTACGTGGACATGTCAGCAAGCTATTGGTTTACCGCCCTTCCGGAAATCCATAGGTGACCACGTCATCCCTCAAAAATCCAATAAAGGGCGTCGACTCTCGTACTACGTCGGTGCTGGTGGTAGTACCAGGTAACGAGCGGAGGCACCCAAAGCCAATCGCAAAAGTGGAAAGCGCAAAGGTCAACACTGAACCTGCAAACTTGCTCTGTCTTCGCCTTCGAGCTCTCAAACAGAAACCATAATATCCGAGCGTATCTTCTCTGGGGCAATTGAGTCGAGTTATTAATGGGTCGACGGAGGAATTCATCGGCAATGAACAAGCTATTTACATGGGTGAGGAGGCAGTCCATGAAGGTCAAGGCTTTCTTGGCCGTGACTTGTCTTCTCTCAGCATTGGTGGCTCTCAAATTGCTTATTAAAGATCACGACCACTTTTTTGTTGCTTCTGAGGCTGCACATTTTTTGGGCATCATCGTCCTGATTTATAAGCTCTCCAGTCAAAAGACTTGTTCCGGTAACAACCTCTTAAACCTTTTGTTCTCATGATCAATTTATATTTGAATTGGAGAGCTGTGATTAGGAATTTAGTATAGTGGCAGTCATTTTAAGTCACATCTCTCTACATAAAGGCACCAAAAAAGACAAAAAAATAAAACCAAAAAAATAAAAATAAAATCAAGCGAAAGTAATGTAATTCACCCTTTTTTCTTTAATTGTCGTGTTTTAGATATGGAGTTTACTACTACCTTTTTGTCGTTCTATTTTTTTTTTTTTTTTTTTTTTTGGCTTTAAGGGAGATTCCAAGCTTTGTAGGAGATAGGGGAGAGCTTGAGAACCAAAATCCATGGTCACCAGTCTAATGACCCTACTAGCTGAGTTAGGTTATGTCACTGTTCTGATACTTCCAGATTTGATTCTTACATTGAAATTATCTCTTTGAGGGGACGTTCTTCCCGCAATATCAAAAGCACTTGTCTGTGGTGTCCTAAGGAGGGCCTGACGTGCCATTACATAGTGGTGAGTCTAGGCAGTGTCACGCCCAAAATATCATAGCTTAATGGACTCCTTGACGACTGTGGTGGTTACCGAGAAGATGGAGGCCTGGTTACATATTCAAGCTCAGCTTCGCTAAGTCATTAGCAGGCTTATTTCCTTTGCAACATATCTCTCATGATGCATTCCCATGGGCTATGTACTTAATGAGATTATCGTCCGCCAGTTACTCTTTTAGTCATTTGGTAGTATTTAATCCAATTTTGTCAAATCATTTAATTTGCTTGATTTGTTAAATACTATTTGCCCTTTGTTGTTTGTCAGATGACCAAATGACCATACGACGGAATTTAATTTCCTTTATTTTGCTGTTTCTTTTCATTTTAGGCCTTTCATTAAAGTCTCAGGAGCTGACGGCTATATTCTTGGGTGTCAGAGTATTCTGTAGCTTTTTCATTGAAGGGGACATTCACACCGTTCTTGATTTTGTCACCCTTGTGTCAACATTGTGGGTTATATACATGATAAGATTTAAACTGAAGTCAACCTATACCGCTGAGCTGGACAATATGCCCATTTACTATGTGGTAATGATCTCTCTTCTGATAAGTTTCTGCTATGTACTATTAACGTCCGTGCAACTTAGGAAATGTCTGCAGCATGTCATTCATTGGTGTACATTCACAAAACTATTTTTCTGATCTGTCTGACTCTCTTGCACATGGAAACATATTCTTGAGGTCTCTTTTGTATGTTTTCTTCAATCAACCATGTAATTCTGACTTTAGAATCCGTCTCATTTTCTGTTTCAAGCAAGATAACTTGGCATTATTACTGCTTGTTCAAGATGGACTGGTATCACTATTAAGTGCAGCCTTTGCATCATTTAATAGCATGAGCTGCATTATAATTACCTAGAATACTTCACTTTCTGCTATGTCCAAGGTCTACGAAAGGAACGCGTAAGCTCTTCTTCATTTCTTTTTCTCACTTTTTTCCCTTTTTTTTGAAACCCAAAAAGAAAAATCTTTCTTGTGTGACCAACTTGAGTAACTCCCCATGATTGGGGAAGTAAAAAAACAGAATGCAGTTTGGCTCCTACAAATCAAACTGTTGCTACCAAGTAGATAAGTATAGTACCGGAGTTTGAACATTAACAATGCTTATGCGGGTGGTTGGGTGGGTGGAGACTGTAGGCACTTGGGTTTTAGGGGGAGCTGTTGCTTATTGATTTGCCTGTCCATGCAGCAGCCAACTTGGAACTTTGGTGCATGTATTACTTACCTGAATGCCAGAGCAGTTTCGTCACGCTTACCACTTATGATATCTCTTTGACAGGTGGTGCCTTGTGCCATTCTGGCTGTGCTTATTTATCCTTACACTAGTCATGCTACAATATACAGGATTCTTTGGGCTTTTTGTGTTTACCTGGAAGCCATTTCTGTGTTGCCTCAGCTTCGCATGATACAGAATGCCAAGGTTTTATCCAATCTTATACTTTACGCTGTTACACCGCATATAATTAATGAATTATTGTCTTCTCAACGTGTTTCAGATGATTGAAGCTTTTACAGCCCATTATGTGTTTGCTTTGGGAGTTGCCAGATTCTTTGGCTTTGCTCATTGGATAATTCTGGTTAGTGCAAGGATATGAAGCTCCATTACATTCCATTAAGTGTTTTTTCTTTTTAATTGTTAACATCTTTGGTGATATTGGACCATCCATATGTATCGGGATTCATTTGTGGTGTAGGGTAATCTGCAATTTCTTTTACCTCTCAAAGAAAGAATACTTTGAAAGGTTTGGGACTTGGTTAAATACGGGTTTTCAAAGTCCATTATTGATCTTTGATGATTTTGGTGAACTTTCAGTAGGGAATCAGCCAGTAGAAATTTGCAAACAAGTTGTCACTCTCGTGATAGCAGGAGATACTTTGTTTGTTGTCTGTGAGAACTTATCATGACAGAGACTGTTGATGGTCTTCAGTATTTAATTGATCTCTGATCTGTTTGAGTTGAGAACCGCCCCAAATTTCTTAAGATTTCCTCCTCCCTTCCAGATAAGGCGTTTCGTGCTTCTGATGGATGCAGTAATCATATTTAGAGACACATGGATTAGGCTTAGAGAATTGTTCACTATGAACAGAAAAGAAACAAAGGACGTAGAGTTGACTGCCAAGATAAAGCTGTTGTTTTTAGATGATCGGATGGATTAAGAAATATGCAAGTGGTTAGGAGGATTGTAATAAATTCCATTTGAAACCATCCACCATCTGTCTACAGGTTTCTGATACTGCCGGACTGAATCTGCTTCTGGTTAAAAGCGGATACCTTTGGCGGCTGGCTGTTTTCCTGGCAGAGGTGGTCCAGACCTTCATATTGGCCGACTTTTGCTATTATTATGTCAAGAGGTGAGCCCTTAGCCTTTTTAACTTGTTTAGGATGGTGTTCTTTTCTTGGAATAAACTAACTAACTAGTTAGAAGAGCTTACTGATGCTCCTTGATTGTGAATTGCAGCCTCGTCGGTGGTCAAGTTCTAGCCAGTCTACCCGTCTAATCGCTATAGTTACATCTCACACAGATCATGGCCATGCAACTGGATGGATGTTCCATATGTACCTGCCTACCTATGCTGGTAATCTTGGACAGAAATTGTTTACCTTGTACTTAGTTCTCTTCTTCTTCTGTAGTCATTTTATCATGCAAATTCTCTTGGAATGTACTTCTGGCGGGCCTCTCTTGGATGTTTTGATTACATGGCGGTGAATATTAAAATCGTAATAATGAACATGGTAATTCAAACTCTTGATAACTTGAGAGCAGCAGCTCCTTGGGTTTTTTCGTTTTTCTTTTGGGTACATTTGATTTGAGGCATAGGGAAATAGGAAGTAGGATCTGTTAGTTTCTTTGCAGGGGAGGGAGGGGCCTGCGGTGATCAACATTATTGACTTGTAATGTAACGAGTCAGCACAGCAGGGGCGTTTTAAGCAGCCGCAAGTAGATACATAGGTGTGCCTACTTTTAGTTCCAACTTCCATCTACCTCAACAGTAGGTGCTCCTACTTCTTATTTTTTGAAAAAAAAAGAAAAGAAATATTTCTGTGTCAATTGATGATGCTGATGAAACACCCGGTTGAATCTGGGGATGGAAATTAATGGGAGTTGTCCCCACCACATTTGATGGCTAAGAGATGTTTACTACTCCTTCCGTCCCACTTTGATAGTTCTGCTTCTTTTTTCACATAGTTTAAGAAAAAGTAGTTAATTTTGTTGGAAAAGTAAATTTAGATTGCTATTTTCCTAAAATACACTCACATTAAATAGAGTACAACTTTATGGGAACTTGAATTAATGGTAAAAAAAGAATCAACTCTCATTAAATGGGATAGGTTTATAGCAACAACAATTTGTATTGAATAAGGGTATTTTAGGAAAATGAAAATACAATTACATTCTTCAATTGGAAAGTGGACTGCAATTTGGGACAGACAAAAAAGGAAAACAGGACTATCAAAGTGGGACGGAGGGAATACTATACAATAAATATTTGAGCACTAATTAATGAGTCGCCCGTTACCATCATGCACTAATTAATACGGTTGCCCTCTATTTACCACTCTCTATTCTAGCAACCTCTATTTACCACTCTCTATTCTATTCTATTGTGGGCACAACTTAAATGGAGAAATAAATAAGTCCACAAAAAAAGTGTGTACGTGTCCACATCAGATGCAAACCCACGCATCAAATCAACTATGTTCGTGTGCGTTAAAGAAAATGTTCATAATGAAAAATATTGGTTGAAAGTTATTATTGGTTTTTGTCAATTAGTAGGTTATTAAATAGTAAAGATTTAGGGCTTGTTTGAATTGCTTGTTTCCTTCGGAAAATATTGTCGTTTTTCGTGATCACATTTCCCTATCACCTTTTTCCTTCACATATATCAAATCGCTACAGTAATTTTTCCATGAAAAATGACGGAAAATGCAATCCAAACACAACCTTAGATGTGAAATGATTTTAGTAGCAGCAGTTACAGGAAGAACATTTGTATAAGAGTCGAGTGAAAATTTTATAGATAGATACAAATGTTAAAGTGTTACATTTGAAATAATAAATAATGATAAGTGTGTTTAAATATTAGATTATTTGGACAAAAAAAAAAGTATTGTAACATTTTTTTAAGAAAAATATAATAATATCTATGAAATGAAAAAAAATGTATTAATAATACTAACAAATCCTTACACGTCGCCAAACTCTTGCTCACGCTTTATGTGCGGTCTCCCTCCTTGGTTCGTAGATGAGGGTTCAAATCTCACCTGCAGCGAAAAAAAATCTAAAAATTGTGTCCTAGCACTCTCTTAATTTAATTCGATCTGTATATCCCATAATCCTTATCACATCCTTCTTAGACTCCCCCTCTCCTTAGATTAGATTAAGATTGAGTAAGTTATACAAACGTACCATTGCTGACCAAAAAAAAAAAAAATTTCACACACCAAGACACCAACAAATCCACGCTCCAACATCTTATTGGACTCAACCGCCGGAGCACAAAAACAAGAAGACAAGGTTCAAAACCGACGTTATCCCAACGTCCTCACTATACCCAGGCATCCTGCTGTCTTCTGCCTGCAACCTGCAAACGCCTTCTAAGTTCTGACTCTCAGATATAATAAATTCACTCATTGAACTATTAATTTAGGCACAAGGAGGCGGTGCAAGTGGTGGTGGTAGCCAAAATGGGTCGACTGAGGAGTTCGCCGGTGAACAAGCTGTTTGCATGGGTGAGGAGACAGTCGATGAAGGTCAAGATTTTCTTGGCTGTAACTTCGGTGATATGTCCACTGGTGGCGCTGAAATTGCTGATCAAAGATCACAACCACTTTTTCATAGCTTCTGAGGCTGTTCATTTCTTGGGCATCATGGTCTTGATTTATAAGCTCACCACCCAAAAGACTTGCTCTGGTGAAATAAAATCTACTACTATTACTTACCTAAAATTTCACCCATCTATTGTTTCATTAAATTCCAGTGCTGGATTTAACCCCCTCTCTTCAATTGGCAATTTAGTAACTTTGTTTTGCTCTTGCTTTTACGTCGCTTTCAATTGCAAAACTCAGTACTTATGCATGATCGGAATTCTTTTTTCTTTCTGTTTTGACACTCTAATGGCCACTTATGCTGATCAAGGCCTCACTCTCTCCTCTTTTTTACGTTTGGCTCATCTTATTCCTATCATCGAATTTGAAGTGTATACTATTTTCTCTTCTTCGTCTGATGAAAAAGGAATGATTTTTTAAAATCGTGGACAACTGCTTCTGTTGCCTGCGTGAAAAGATTTCAGTAGCCAAGTTCTCGCATTGACTGTAGTTATTTGGAGTAACATCTCATATGTGTTGACACATATTTTCACTAACCCGTAATCATGAAATCAAGATCAACATTTTGGGTTTACAAGAATTGTTTGGCATGTTGACTTGATCCAAAATTGGTATTTCCTCGGAGCCCTGTGGAGCCAGTGAAAAGTAAAAGTTAATTTTCTCAAATAATTTCATACTTGGCTGCTGAATACCGAGGAAATTACAATGTCCTTGGAAGTTTTGCAGTTTACTATCGCTCACAATTAACATATACATGCCAAAAATGTAATTGTTCTCGATTGGAATTTTCTGTAACTTGGTTCGTCTCCGAAATTGAACACAAGCTTGTAGTCGGATAATCAAATTATTACAGCTGATTCCTGTTACAGTAGAATCTAATAATGATTCTGATCCAGGTTTATCACTGGGCTTACCAAGATTGCTTTGCTTTCCCAATGTTGCTTGTAGGCGTTTCCTTGAAGTCTCAGGAGCTCACGGCTATATTTTTGGCCGTAAGATTATGCTGTAGCTTCTTCATGGAGGGAGATATCCATACTGTACTTGATTTTGCCACCCTTGTATCAACTTTATGGGTTATTTACATGATAAGATTTAAACTGAAATCCACCTACATAGCAGAGCTGGACAATATGCCCATCTATTATCTGGTAACGTCTTTGCTCCCAGATAGCTGCCATCTTATGCTAGCTTTTTGAGGCACATTTCAGTTCCTCGTGTTGATTTCATGCATTAATGCAAGAGTAGTTTAATTGTGGAGTGTGTGGAATGGTAGGGGAAATCTGCCCTAATTTGCTCGAGTTTCGGTATGCAGTAGTTCAATCTGTGGAGCATTTCAGTAACATAAAATTCATCCCAGTTTAAATACATTAAAAAAATAAAATGAACATTCATCTCATGCTTATGGTCTATGTATTTTAGTAGAAATGTTTTGCTATGTCGCCCTGTGATTTTGTTGGCAGGTGGTGCCATGCGCAATTCTAGCTGTAATTAGCCGTCCGTATACCTATCACGCACTCATCTACAGAATACTTTGGGCCTTTTGTGCTTATTTGGAATCCGTGGCAGTGTTGCCCCAACTTCGGATGATGCAGAATGCCAAGGTTTTCGCCATTTCTTGTTAAGTTTGCTTTTTTCAAACTGATGCATGTCTTGCAAGAATCTATTCGTTTTCTCACATGTATTTCAGATGATCGAACCATTTACGGCCCATTATGTATTTGCTCTGGGTGTTGCAAGATTCTTGAGCTGCGCTAACTGGATCATCCAGGTTAGTATGAGAGCCCATATATATATAAACATATTTTTTTTTCCAGCAACGATAACATTTGTATAACCTAATCATACATTGAGAAGCATAATTCAATATTTATAAGGGCAACTGATTGATATTTTACGAGGTATTCTGCTTGTATACTCTTTAGTGGGACTTGGGAGGTGCAAATTTGTAACTAGAATCCCTGATCCACTAGTCCAAAACTGGGAGGTGATATTTACAATTTTGCGATAACTTTTGTTAATCGCTGTCACTGAGACTTGCTAAATTCCTATTCATTACTTAAACACTCGTGAACACTGGATGAAATGCACCGAGTATCTTAGAATTTTTTGGGTTTATAGGAACTATGAATGAGATGGTTTTGCATGGGGGAACCATCAAAATAGGTTGACCTGACCCTTATTTGAGGAGGCAATTACCATTATGGTTTTCATAGTGTATTTCTTGGAGAAGACATGAGACGTAATAGAATGCCCCCAGCATGCATAAGTCTTGTAAATTTTGTAGATGTTGAATAGCTAGCATTCTTCCCTGGAAATATGGTCCCTAATCCATTTAAATACATTTGCAGGTTTATGATACTTCTGGAAAGTATCTGTTTGTGCTTGGAGGAGGGTATTTGTGGGTTGCAATGGTTCTTCTATCTGAAATTGTCCAGACGTTCATCTTGGCTGACTTCTGTTATTATTACGTCAAGAGGTGATATGCTTAAGCACTTCATTTCAACTTCTTCCTCATAGTTTGTCATTAACTGGTTCACAAGTAGCTTACCAGTCTTAAGTCTATTTTCTTCTTTTGCAGCGTGATCATGAATGGCCAGCTTCTAGTCACCATGCCTCTGCCTGTGTAATAATACTACCACACTGATATATATATATATATATCTTTTTTTTTTTTTGGGGTGATCATGGTAGGCTTGGACAGAACATTTTACCATGCTTTTTATTTGGTTAATTGACTTTTTTTTTTTAAACAAAAAAAATCATATTCTTGCGTTTTCTGTGGGTCTGGATCAATTTGGGCTTGGGTCATGGTCCATGCTGCCGTAAACGAAGAAGGAACGTGATATATAATTGCTTGTCCAATATCTCAATCCAACAATTATTTCTACAATTTTGTATTCGAGATTCATTAATAATGGGGCGAGCTACAACTAAAGACCATTTCCCTTCTCTGGGGACTGGATTCCGTGTCCACCTAATAACCCTACAATCCAGGCCAATGGCATCAAAATTCTTAAACAATGGGTTGTCTTGTCCAAAAAAGGAGGGTACTAGTGTATTTAGTATATGTACTTATTAATATGATTAGCAGTTTTACCGAAAAAGCTGTCCTATATCATATGATTGGCTATTTTTCTTCAAAAAAAAAAAAAAAAAATGCAGCGCTTGCATTATTTGACCAAGACAAGAGAAACAGATCATATATATATATATATATATATATATATATATATATATATATATATATATAGAGTAAATCTTATATACACTGACATACATTATCATCGTCGAATTTATGTCATCTATGCAAAAATTGTATTTTAAATTTAAATTTTGTATAGTTGTTATTCATCCAATACTGACAGTGTAGGAAAAATTAATATATATATATATATATATATATCATTCTATGACTAATGGCATGGATAGTTGTGGTTTGGGGACGTCACTGAATATTAACTACACGGTACAATAAAAACAATAACACAATTAATATATATATTAATAAAACAGTAACACAATTAATATAAATATTAATAAAACAAATGTAGATACTAATATAAAAAAGAAAATAAAAATGTAATAAATTTTTTTTGCACATTGAAATTAATAAATGTCTTTTCCTCCGTTCAATTCCAAAACATCCCATTTCCTACCTTCAACCGTACCTGAATGAATTCCTATGACCAGGGAGGGAGGATCTCAATTCGATAGTTATGAGGATTAAAGGCAAGGATAGTTGATCAAATACTTACTACTTTACCTTGTTTTGATTGCAATTTTTTTTTTTGAAAATTTTTAATCATTTTTTCACTCACTATAAAAACTTCAAAAAAAAAAAAAACGATAGAGAGGGAGGGTGCGGGGTGCAAACGAACCAAACTCGAGTTAATTTTGTGAAACTCGAACTCGAGCTCGACGAGCTCAAAATATCAAGCTCGAGCTCGAGCTTAAAAAATAAAAAAATAAAAAAATAAAAAATTATTTTTTATTTTTAAAAATAAAATAATAATTATTATTTTTAAAAATAAATAAAAATAATAATTTTTTTAATAAATAATAATATATTAGAAATATATATGTAATTTTATTATTAAAATAAAAAATAAAAAATATATATATAATTGAGCTCGCGAGCCAACGAGTTTAATGTCAGGCTACTGTCTCCATGGCTGAGCTTGATCGAAGATTGATTGAGAATTTGGGAAAATTGAGCAGAGAAGAGGGAAGGGAATAAGGGTTCGGAGAGAAGAAAAATTAGAGAGAGAAAGTGAGAGGGAAAGTATTGAATTTCTGTTATTTCTCTGATGATTCCTTTGCCAATCACACGCGTACAAATAAGCTGGACAACCGACTCAATGAACTGTGTAACTAATTCTGTTATAGTGCCGCGACGTCGTTTCCATAAGTTCTAGTTTATACGGCGCCGTTACACTTATTCTTGGACAATCAAACCTAATTCGCTCAATTAATTGCAAACGACAACGTTTTGGCTTCAATTGGAGAAATTGTTGTGTTCCCGACATTGCCTCTCCCTTTAACAGTCTTGTCCTCAAGGCTGAAACTATGGAAACTGAGTGTGGATGAAATTCTGATCTTCCCAAGAAGCTTCCTCGTCACCGAGCTGACACCATTTGATCAAATATTGGATAACAGTTTGCCCATTCCGCATGATCACTCTCCTTCGCAGAATCTGTTCAGGAAGCAAGGGACATTGATCATTGTCATCAGGTTCAGGCAAAGTAGCTGCAACTGGCTGCAGTGGCCCCAACTTCCTTTTGAGCAGTGACACATGGAAAACAGGATGGATACGTGCCCCTGCAGGTAACTTGAGGCGATAAGCAACTGATCCCACCTTGGCCTCAACCTGAAAAAGGGCCATAGAATCTGGCAGACAGCTTAAGACATTTCCTGATGGCAACTGATTGCTGCCTGTAAGGCTGCAGTTTCAGGAAACCCAATCACCCACCTCGAACTTCCTCTCAGTGCGCTTCTGATCAGCAAAATGCTTCATTCGCTGCTGTGCTTTCGCAAGGTGGTCTTTGATGCTACTGGAGATCCTCAACCTTTCCCGGAGAAGGTGAGAAGCTGCTAGTATGATGGTCTCCAGGTGAGGCCCTAAAGGTAAAGGAGGAGGTTTGTACCCATACAGTGCTTCGAAAGGAGTGAGTTGCAGGCTAGAATGATAGGAAGAATTGTACCACCATTCTGCTAAAGGGAGCCACCTGCTCCAATTGTGAGGAAACTCCCCAGTCATACATCTGAGGTAAGTTTCCACACACTGATTAAGCCTTTCGCTCTGACCATCTGATTGGGGATGATAAGCAGAGCTGTACCTTAGTTCCGTGCCTGCCAATCTGAAAAGTTCTTGCCAGAAAGTACTAGTAAAAATCCTATCCCTGTCAGTCACAAGGGACTCTGGAATGCCGTGCAATCTAAAAATGTTGTCAAGGAACAGCTGAGCCACCTGTTTGGCTGTGAAAGGATGAGCCAAAGCAAGAAAATGTCCTACCTTGATGAGCCTGTCGATGATAACCAACACTGTATTGTATCCCTGAGATTCTGGTAGACTTTCTATAAAATCCATAGTAAGATGAGTCTAGGCTAGGTGGGGTACAGGCAGAGGTTGCAGTAGACCAGGATATGGAACATGTTCAGGTTTGAACCTTTGACAGGTATCACAAGCTTGGACGTATTTGATGACATCCTGCTTCATGTTAGGCCAAAAAAATAGAGCTCTCATCCTTTGCCAACACCCTCTTTGTACAGAGTGTCCCCCAATAGCAGATGCATGGAGAGCCTGAATCAGTTTCTCTCTTAACCCATAGGCAGCGCCCACATAAAGCTTGCCCCTGTGTTTCAACAATCCCTGCTTCCACTCATACTGGGGTTGAGCTTTAGGGTCTAGTCACAATTGAGAGATAATATTTTGACATTGAGGGTCAGTCTCATAACTTCTTTGAAGCTCTTGTATCCACAAGGGGGTAACCGTGGTGATAGCTAGGCAAGACCCTTGTGGAGGAATCTCAGCAGTGTTTCTGTCATACACCCTGGACAGGGCATCAGCAACCTTATTTGTTGATCCCTTCTTGTACTGGATTTCATAATCTAGGCCAAGGAGCTTGGCCAACCATTTGTGTTGCAGAGTAGTGGTCAGTTTTTGGTCTAGCAGGTACTTCAAGGACTGGTGATCTGTCCTAATAATAAAGTGATATCCCAGCAGAAAATGTCTCCATTTGGTTACTGCCATTACGAGTGCCAATAACTCCTTCTCATATGCTGACAACCCCAGATTCCTAGGTGACAAAGCCTTGCTGAGGAAGGCTATAGGGTGACCCTCCTGCATTAGCACTGCTCCTATTCCCCCTCCACTCGCATCAGTTTCTATAATGAAAGTCTTCTGGAAATCTGGCAGACTGAGTACATGAGCCTTGCACATAATGTGTTTCAGTGAATCCAGGGCCTTCTGTGCTTCCTTATTCCAGTGAAAGCTGTCTTTCTTGAGTAAGTCTGTTAGAGGCTTGCAGATGATCCCATAGTGTCTGATGAACCTCCTGTAATATCCAGTTAGTCCCAAAAATCCCCTCAACTCCTTTAAGGTTTTGGGGGTAGGCCAGTTCATAATGCTGTCTATTTTCGACTGATCCATGGACACTTCATCTGCAGTTATAGTGTGGCCAAGATAATCCACATTCTGCTGAGCAAAGGAGCATTTGGATTTCTTTGCAAACAAACTGTGCTCTCGCAGGACAGCCAATACTAATTTCAAATGTTCCAAATGTAACTCAAGTGTGGCACTGTAAATCAAGATGTCATAAAAAAATACCAGAACAAACTTTCTGAGATATGACTGGAAAATCTGATTCATAAGGGATTGAAAGATTGTTGGTGCATTGGTCAGCCCAAATGGCATGACCAGAAATTCATAGTGACCACAGTGAGTCTGAAAGGCAGTCTTGTGAGTGTCTTTAGGCTTAACTCTGATCTGATGATAGCCAGAGGTTAGGTCTAATTTGGTCTTGTATTTGGATCCTGCTAATTCATTGATTAGTTCATCAACATTTGGGATAGGATACCTGTCCTTAACAGTCATTTCATTTAAACGTCTGTAATCCACATAAAAGCGCCATGTTCCTTCCTTTTTCTTAACCAACAATACTGGAGAGGCAAAGGGGCTATTACTGTGGATAATTATCCCATGCTGCAACATTTCCTTTACCTGCTTTTCAATTTCACTCTCCTGGGAGTGAGGATATCTATACGGTTTCATTTTGAAAGCCTGGGATCCTTGCTTTAGAGGGATCTCATGGTCTATCTTCCTGGTAGGTGGTAACTCAGTAGGGGTCTGAAACACATCATTAAAGTCTTCTATGACCTGCTGGACTTCAACAGGCACCTTAGATTCTTCTGTCAGCTTATCTTGGCTCATTCTCATAGCTAGACACATTTGCCTTTTATATTCAATGAAATTTCTCAAGTCACTCCCTCTGATCAGATCCAAATCACAGTCCTCTGCTTGCCCCCTGAGTTGCACTACTTCACCTTGATTGTGTAGGGATATAGTCAACTGATGGAAGTCGAACGTAATGGGACAAAAGTGAGTCCTCCAATCCACTCCTAGCACCATATCCCAACCACTTAAATCCATCACCTTGAGATCAAAACAGAACTGATGCTGATTGATTCCCCAGGTTACCTTAGGACAGATGGCTTTACTGGACACGCAAGCTCCATTTCCCACTATTACAGAGAATGGTTCTACTAGTTGGTAGGGAATATCATAGGCAATCACCTTCTCACTACTGATATAACTGTCTGAACTTCCTGTATCCACTAGGATAAGCATCTCTTCCCCATCCCACTTCCCTACCAGTGTGATTGTTTTCCTCTGCATGGCCTCTGACAGAGCATACAAAGACATTTCCATGACTTGACCTGGATTCCCTGTGGACTCATCCTGCTCCCCAACAGCATCTTCAAACTCCCCTTCTTCTTCTTCTTCAGTAACTAAAAGATTTAGGTGGCCAGGTTTGCACTGATGTCCCTGCCCAAACTTCTGTCCACACTTGAAACAAAGCCCATTACTCCTTCTGTATTGCAACTCCTCTGCTGAGAGTCTCCTAGGTTCAGATCCTGATGTGGCCAGCGTTTTCCCCTTGAAAGGAGTGTTCCTAAAAGTGCTGGTAGGAGGTACCCTATACTGCGAACCTTGGATCTGGTGTGGGGAAGAGTTCCTGGAAATTCCAAACCTATCTTCAAACGCAGTTTTTTCTCCCTCTTTGCCTGTCCTAGTCTGAAGTCTCAAGGCCTCCTCCTGTAGTACGGCTAGTTCAAATGCTTCTGATAGACCTATAGGCCTTAACATTTTGATCATAGTTCTGATTTCGTCCTTAAGTCCACTGACAAAACTAGATACATAATATTTTTCATCCAGGTGCGGATTCCTAATCATCATCAAGGTTTTAAGTTCCTCAAACCTTTCCTGGTATTCCTCCACCTTACCCGACTGTCTCAGCTTGTTGAATTCCTCTACCACATCTCTCCCGTTTCTATTGTCAAACCTCTTATATAGCAATTCTTCAAATAGTTTCCAAGTCATTCCTGATTTTTCTATCTTAACCCCCTGGAATCAGTTATCTGCCTTCCCTTCCAAATACATTTCTATAACATCAACTTTTTGATCTTCAGGAATTTGGTAATTTAGGCAATACTTATTGCATTTTCGAATCCATTCCCTTGGATTCTCACTAGTAAACAGAGGTAAATCAATTCTAGGAGGATTTGGTACCAGAAGCTTACTTGTTTCTTTCCTTGCTGATCTGTTGCTGTCTGTTCCAATCTGTAGTCTCTGGCTCATTGGAGGAGTTGGTAAGAGTGGTGCTTGTTCCATCCTCTGTCGATCATCTTCTGGAACAAGCTCGCTCCTTGCCTATCATTGCTCTCATGAAGGCGCTGAGTTCCTGCTTCATTTCCGCTACTAGATTCTCTACTTTCTTGCTGTTTCCTTCTAGTTTTGAGCGAATTTCCTCCTGCATTTGCTGTTGTCGTAACTGTGAAGATTGTAGATCTTCCATTACCTCTTGGAGTCTGATCTCCTGCTTCTTGATCTGTTCCTCCAAGGTTTTGAATCTGGTACTTTCCGCCATTGATTTAGAGGTTATTCCAAGGATTCAGCCAGCTCTGATACCACTTGTCAGGCTACTGTCTCCATGGCTGAGCTTGATCGAAGATTGATTGAGAATTTAGGAAAATTGAGCAGAGAAGAGGGAAGGGAAGAAGGGTTCGGAGAGAAGAAAAATTAGAGAGAGAAAGTGAGAGGGAAAGTATTGAATTTCTGTTATTTCTCTGATGATTCCTTTGCCAATCACACACGTACAAATAAGCTGGACAACCGACTCAATGAACTGTGTAACTAATTCTGTTATAGTGCCGCAACGTCGTTTCCATAAGTTCTAGTTTATACGGCGCCGTTACACTTATTCTTGGACAATCAAACCTAATTCGCTCAATTAATTGCAAACGACAACGTTTTGGCTTCAATTGGGGAAATTGTTGTGTTCCTGAATTTAATATTTTTGAATTCGAGTTCGACCTCGAGATCGACTTAATTAGTTCGAGCTCGACTTGAACTCGATATTGACGAACTCGAGTCGAGCCGCTCGCAATCGGCTCGCGAGCAGCTCGATTTGCGAAACACCCCTGGTGCCTAGCTGTACTTAAGATTAAAGTGCAAGGACACTTGGCCCACATGCACCAGCCTATCGTCACGTCAACCCGCTTTAATGGACTTTTCTTTTGCTTTTTCAAACCAGGCTCTCATCTTTCCCGACCTACCTGGCACTGGCAGCGACACTTTTAATCCATCGTAACTCAAGTCAGCATTCACCCTTTCCACACCAACCACTCGCCGCGTGTCCTACTCTTACCCGCCCAGATTCCCCCGCCTCGACCCGTCGCTATCTATCTCACTCCCCACACTCCACTCCCCGCTCCCTCCCTCTCTCTCCCTGTCTCTCTCAAGTCTGAACTCTGGTTTTTTTTTTTGAAAAAAAAAGAAGACGAGAACGGGAAAGCAAGCCTGCAAACAATGAAAACACACCATCAGCTGACCTGTCACATCGACCTAGCCCCACACGTGTCTCTCCTTCCTTACCCTTTTCTGAATGCTCCTTCTTCTCCTCTTCCATGTGTCGAGCTTCCGTCCATCTACGTGTCAACCCTGCTGTGGCGAAAGCGACGGTGCATCCATCCGTACTCTCAAAGCGACCCGCCAAAAAAGCATTAAGGCCATCTCCAGAAAGGAACACGTGTCGAGTTCTCGTGATCTCTGCTCTCGTGTCATCTGAGCACACCACGTGGCAGCCGGGAAACGCATGCAGGCCTTACATTACTGATCGCAGCAGCAGCAGCAGCAGCACCGGCGAATAGATTAACGTTAAAAATTGATTGAATTAAAAGCAGCGGCTCCTGGGCCCGGGGAGTCAAAGATTATGTTCACCGCTAAACGAGGATTAGCGGGCTAACCGTACTTAACGCATGTATCAAACGTTTGAAACCTTGAAGCATCGCTGCCTTTTTTTTTCATCTAACGTGTCAGCCTAACCTCCACTGTCCTCTACTCTCCTCCCCCCATGTGGCACTCCCCCCCAGCTCTCGCCTTAACCGCTCCTATTTCTGTTCTCCGCTGGCTTTGAGTTTTCTTTTGTTTTCAAGCGAAGTTTGAGCCACAGGGGAAGAAGATAATAATTGGCATCATTGTTTTTTATTGTTATCATGAAGTCATCTTAGTAGTTTCAAAATTTTATTCCTTTCTTAGTTTTCGAGTTTGAGGGGATTTTTTTTTTATAACTTTTCGTGCTGATGGGAATGTTGGAGGTATCTGGAGTTGGGGTGGGAGAGAGTGAGGAGGAAATTGAGCTGAGTTTGGAGCTATCAATAGGTGGGAGCTATGCAGGAAAATGTGAGAAGACAACTGCATTAGCAGAGGAATCCTTGTGTAAAGATGAGGAAAGGGGTGTTGAGAATATTATTGTCCCAAGATCTGGTTTTTCATCTTCTGATCATCGTCAGGCTATTGTTGTTGTGGAAAGCGATCATCATCGAGTGGAGGGCGGCCGGCTGAGGAGTGGATCATCAGAAGCTGTGGATCAAAACAGGAACATCAGGGAGATGCAAGCCTTGAGAAGAAGGGAAGCAAGAAAGAAAAGAGAAGAGAAGCTCAGAAAATCATCCGTCAATTGTAAAGGGATAATTAATGTTGCCAATCTTGACAAGGTGTGTTTGGAGGCACAGCAGTTGCAAGCCAGGGCTGAAGATAGGGCAATGAAAGAGAAGGAGAGTGTTTGGGATGATCATAGCAATCATTGTTTAGCTGGCACAAGGAAGGAGAAGAATGTTGTTGCACTTGTTATAGACACTGAGGCTATGAAAGACTCAAATTCTAGCGAAAAACAAGGTTCAGACCCTAAAGAAGCCATTGCTTCTTGTCAGCAACAAAATCTTGTTGGGGTGATGCAAATGCCGGAGGGGCTTTACCAGCAGTCACAATGCGGGCCATTAAAGAAAAATGGTAGTGTGTATCGATATGGGGTGGCATGTTTGGGTCCCTCCGGGGTTGTGGCCGGAAACGAGGAGGATGAGATGATGAAGGAGAAGAGTATGTTTCAACCTGCATTGGGTTGTGGGAGTTTCCGGCCTTATCTTAATGCAAATGTGGTTTTGAACATGAGACATAATTCAGGGAGGGGTTGTGATTCAGGACACAACAGTAGCGGTGGCATAATGAGTAGGATTGTCAACCAGAAAGCTGTCTCCAATGGTTCTCTTGACAGAAGTTCCTCAGCCATTTCAGATTATAGAAGTACATCTGGGAAAGGTAAAACAATGCAACGTTAACACGTTTAAAGCTGCTAAATTGCTTGCTTTGATGTTTTCTTGGTTAAGTAGTAGTTTTACTTTATTGCATTTATCTTTTGGTTTAACTACAGCATTTGTCACGTACAAGGAAGGAATTGCTTAGGTGCTGGAGAGCTAAGATATTGAAAAAGAACAGTGATCTTTAGAATAAAAATGTTGGTTATAATCTATCATAATTGGAATTTCGGTAATTGGTGTTCGAGATGAAACTGATTAGCAGTTCCTAGAAATTAAAGAAAACTATGGAAGTGGATTTGTGAAAAATCAACATCAGACAGGTCGATATTGGAGAAATCGTCCAGACACAGACTCGCTTGAAAACAACAGAGTGGATCTTGAATATCGACTTTCACGTCGATTTAAGGAAGTTAATTTCAAAGCCCATTGTTATGAAAACTGCAACTGACTTCAAAGTTTTTATGAAAACAGGATGGATTTCCTTCCTGCAATGTCTTTTGGGGGACGTTGTTTTTGTGCTTCTGGATGTGTTGATGCTTGGTTTATAGGCTTGCTGAACTGCAAGAACCTTTCTGAATCAATAATAGAATAGAGTCCTTTATGATGAATCAAACTTTCGAACCACTCTCCAAAATTTTATTAGTAAGCCGAGTCTATTTCTTTAAAAGTCCACTCTAGATTAGATTTCATAGAAATGATTTCGATGTTTGGGGAAAGCTAATCAAAAGGACAGTATTTTTCTAATTTCAATTGAAAACCTCAATATTCTAAGCCTATGCAGAGCTTTCATTAATTGGTTTCCTAACATGTTCTTCTTGGATCACATCTATGTCGGTACTTGTCAAGATGCTCTAATGGTTCTCGCATTTTTGGTCTTTTCTTATGTTTGGATCGTTATCCTTCAATATTAGACCTCTTCCCAATAACACCCACATCGCACCTGCATGTTCCTCTTGGATAATTTTATATGATCTGCGGTACTCATAATAAACCTGTTTTGGTTCTATTTTGACAATAAAAAAGAAAGTGTTTCGGAATGGTGAAGCGACAAAAATGGTGATCGTCCTTTTCCTGAGAGTGCGTAAGGACACTTGTTGAACTATCTTAGGCTGGTCACCCTGATGGTAGTGCATTGATGGTCTTATATTGGAAATCAATTTGAAGTTAAAAGGGAAAAATAAAAAAAATAAATAAATCTGAACAAATGAAAAGAGAACTGGATAATGTGGACTTGAAATCCATTTTGAAGTTGAGATAAATTCAAACTTTGCAGATGGTTGTGGATTTCTCAAGTGTTCACTAGGTGCTGCCTGTGGGCTAATTGAGATCAATGATGACATCCCATTTGATACTATGTATGGTATACGGAATACCCCGCAAAAAGAATCAGAAATCTGTAATAACAACCATCAAGATGTTTGTGATGTTCTATTTTCTGGATGGGGAAAGAAACCAGTACCAATTCGTTAACATTCTTAACACTGTTGCAGGTGGAAGCATTAGCGACACTGGAAGCCATTCCAGTTGCCTACAAGCAAATGATAGGCAGTTAAGCCTTTCAGCAACAAGCGATGCTCTGCATCAAGCTGAACCCAATAGCACTCTGAGCAATAGGGAGAGAGGGGAAGAAACAATAAGAGTGGCGAACTCGCCAAAGCAGATGTTTTTGGCCGCAGAACCACAAATTTGCATGGTCAACACTTGCGGAAATTATAAACCGGATACCAAGTCTAATGCAGTGTCTCCAAAGTTCAAGGACACAACTTCTAGCCCTCTAAAGCAATCCAAGGAGGTCAAAGACAATCCATCCAAGATTCAATCCCATAATTTTGCGATGCCTTCTCTGCCACAAATGCCTTGTGTGTCCACCACAGGAAACGGTCCAAATGGTAAGACGATAACTGGGTTCCTGTACAGGTACACAAAGGCGGAGATTAGCATTGTCTGTGTTTGCCATGGAAGTTCTTTCTCTCCGGCTGAGTTTGTGGGAGCATGCTGGAGGGACAGACATAACGCACCCACTACGGCACATTACCATGATTCCTTCCTCTTTCAGATAGCGATTGGGAAATAATCAACGCCTTTCTTTCTTTCTTTTCTTTTGCCTGCTGCAAAATAGGGTAGGAGAGAAAATTAACTAAATGCTCGGATGTAAAGCTAGTACATGGGTTTTTCCTAGTTCCCTGTAATGCAATGAAAAAAGCTCTAATTTTACTTCTTTAATCCTGATGATGTTCTTTTACTGTCTTTGATCGTATGGACATGATTACCTTACCATGGGAATTTTGATAGGCAAGCGACCACAAGGAGCAGGTACCTAGCCACCCTGAATGCAAAACCACCGGAGTCGGCATCCACGGCCATGCCCGTCGCCCACCACCCTGGACACCATAATTTCACACATTGGGATATGCTTAATGTTCAATAACTCTCTAAGCTCACGTTCCCACTGGCTGCGTCATGTGCGGAAGCGGAAGGTTATCATGGAGATGAAAACTGTTGCACAAGAGGAAGATAAACTAGACAATGGACAGCAAAACATCGACTATCGGTATAACAGAGAAAACTTGCTCCGGAATGTTTAAGCCCAAACGGTAAATAGAAGGACTCTACCTTAAAAGTACAACGAAGTCAAAGCCCAGAGATATACTACATCCCTCCACTAACACCCGATTGCCAGTGCACAGTTGATGTCTGAATTGTCCAATCCAGTCCAACCGTAAGCGAGATGCCAGCAAATCCACAGGTAGATTATGTAACGTAGCGTCGCGTAGAACGACATTGATGAATTCGGGTAGATTGCAACAATTAATTCAAAATTTTAAGTAACACAGAAGGTATCCTGCGCCAAAAGCTGATTATCAGACATCACAAAATCATGTTAACAACGTGGAACATTTGTCAGAGCAGTTACGAATTCCAACAAGGCTTCATCTGTCACCTAAATACCAAATTCCTCAGCCTCTGAATAATTTGACATAGGAGAAGAAAGAACAAGTAACCTAATCCCATTCGTCTTCGAAGATAAGATAAAATGGCTTACACGAATAGAACAAGGTTATATACACAGTACTGCAAACAAACGAAAAAAAAAACCAACATATCAAAGCTAAAACCAGCTATCATTTCTTCCAAGTATCTAGAGTAAAGATACCCCCCAAAAAAGAATTCGTCGAGTACAAAAAATAAGCCCATAACCGAATGACAAGCAACTCTTCTTCGGGCTTAGTTAACCTTGTGCTGTTACATCACAAAAACTACATGGAACTTATCTACTATCCAACTATACTTGCCAGAGACGAAAAAATTAGAATAGAATTTGTCAGAAATTCCAATGAAAATTTCAGGCAGCCCCAACAACCTGTCTACCCAAAGGATATCTCTACTCACTTGATCCTTAGAACTGAAGAGAAAAGAGGAAGGGGGGGGGGATGATCTAACATGATGTCTCACCAGCCCTAACTAACCTAATAAACCATCAAGCAGTAGCAGACACTCGAGGTGTCATATTCTTAGTTGTTCCGTTTGCCATTCCACCACCACTGCGGTTCATGCGGCCGCCATTGCTGTCAGACCTTTGGTATCCATCACCTCCGCGGTTTGATGCTACTCCTCGATTGCCACCTCTGTTGTTGAATTCATTCCTACCACCAAAATCACCTCGACTGTAGCCCCTGCCACCTCCATAGTTTCCACGGCCTCTCACTCCCTCATTTCTGAACCCTGAAACTCTTCCAGATTGATACCTTCCCCTATTATTTCCTACAAAAGCGAACATAATAAATATATTAGGTTGTGGCAAGAGGAACCAAGTTCAGTTCCAACACTAAACTTCATAATTGGCATATCTATTACAAACTTCAAGAAATGTAACAAGCATTGCAATCATCAGCCCATCCCTTTTTTCACCCGAATAAAGGCAAAAATAAAATGTTAACTGGAAGTCCTTTCTCAACCTATTAAAATTCAGCCAAGGAACAGGCAAGGTGATAGACATCTAGGAATGTTGATTTCACTCTCTCTTAATCCTTCATATATAGACCACTTACACAAAACATTTATAGGAAAGCTTTGCAATTTCCAACTTGCCTCGAGAATTTGTAGACCTCTTTTCTTCAACAATGGCCTGGCGTCCACCAATTGCAATCGGAGAAGCCTGAAAATATCAAGATTAAGACATTTTGGAGGAAATGGAGTAAACAACAAAAGCAAATAAGTAATGAACCATTTAAGCTCGTCTACTTGAAAACTAAATTAGACCAGTTAAATACTTGGGACAACGTGAAGAATAATAAGCATTTAAACCAATGAAAGAGAGATTAGCAACCACTTCTAGGAGTTTTTTATTCTCCATTTCTGTGGGGTAAGGAGGGTTTGGTGGATTGGCTGATTCACTAAAAGAGCAGATCATACAGAGGGAAGTGAAAATTTTACACCACAAGACAGCTAAGAGATACCTCAACTAATGCTTTTGCATCAAATTGGATGACAGGGCAAGGTATACCCATAAGCAATGTGAAATTAGAAACATCCCAACCTCCATAATAACACATCCCCCCTCTTTTGACACAGAGAGAGAGAGATTTTTTTTTTGTTTTTGGGAAGAGGAGGGGGGGGGGAGAGGGATGGCTAGCGCAGTTTGATTTGTTCATATATTTAAATGCTTTGCATTGATTCGTGGACATCAGAACAAGTTTAACACTAATGCTCATAAAGCTTTTGGCTGAAAAAACCCTGAAATGCCCATTTAAAGCTAGATGGCAACAAAGCAGTCTTCACATACCATCATAAAGGTAAAAGGAAACCAGCAATCTTTGGAAGGATTACTCAGTTACTGTGTATAGTTTCAGGTTTTTGTGTAGCATGTAGTAGTTTGTATGAATAGATGCTAAGCTGTCATTGTACTAAAGCATGCACGACTAGGATCCATCCCATCACAAGCATATATACCCCAAAAAAAAAAAAACAAACACAAAGATCTTTGCACTATAATAGCAGGGACACATGAATGACCACAGTAATTGGAAATAACTATGAACTAGAAATTTTATGAAAATAATTGTATAAAGGACAAAAACAGAAGCTCATAATCAAATGATTTAACAAAGTAGTCAAACTTTAGGATTTCAAGACTTTAATAGTTCAAAAGAAACCAGACAAAGTTCAGTAACTATAATCTGTTATTAATTTTGTAAAACATAATATGGCCCTGTTCATACTATCATAGGAAAGCAGGTACCTCAATTGCTTTTTGAACTGCACTTGGTACCTCAAATTCCACAAAACCAAAACAGAAACCCTGTTGCTGCAGGAGAAAACAATATAGTCATAAGGCAAAAAACACAAAAGTACTATGTAAATACATTTGTTCCTACTTACTCTGTTGCTTCTGACTTGAATGCCTCCATTCCTTATGGGGCCAAACTTCTTGAACTCATTCTCAAGCAATGTTACAGTAGCATTCATTGGCAAACCCTTTATGTATATTGAATAGCCATCCGCTGTTCCAAGTAAGAAAAATGGGCACATTTAAATACAAAACAATATACATGGGATGAAATACATAGCAAAAGATTAATAGTTCAAAACCCTCAAAAATAGCTTGCCTTCTCCATCTTGGTTATTCCCATTATCAACTGCATCAGGACGAGGAACCAGTCCATCAGATTCCGGTTCTGGGGGAGGGATCACCTGCTCTTGGCTCTTTGGTACAGATTTCCTAGGAGCAGGCGTAGGAGATGAAAAAGCCACTGCACTTTCCTTCAGGTCCATCACCTAAGACCCACAAAAAAAAAAAAGATTTTTGGATGAGATAACCAGTAGCAGAAGACCGAACTGCCTCCAATACCAAGAGCTAACAAACTCAAATTTCCTTTGGTTGAATCAAATTTTTACAAAAAATAGACATCATCCTATGGCATAAACATGGTTTAGAATTCTCAGTACAATGGACAACAAATCTCCAACTGTTTTTGACACACACACACAAAGAGAGGAGTAAATTTTATAGTTTAACTCACGATGGAAGCATATGATTTCTTAGGCACTTCTTCAATTTTGGTGTTAGATTCAACCACAATCTGCATTTCATCTTGGACTTCGTCAAGAACCTCAGCTACTGGGACTTCCTCCTCAGCATTTGGGATTTCTCCATTTTCAGGAGGGTTGTACACTTCACCCCCACTAATTTCCTCAGCTGAAGAAGTGCTTTGCTCAGAAACATGATTCTCCTGCACAGCCGGAGGCGGAGGGTCTGCCAGATAACAAAAATTAAACAATTAAAAACAATCTCTAGCAATTGGCAACAAAACAAGCATCACCATTTCATACCTTGTTCTGGAGTCACAGGAGCAACCACTTCATTTGCCACCCCCTGGTTTGCATCCTGTTGATTCCCATTTTCTACGTAGCGAAAAATGTCATTCAAAACAAAGTAGCCCCTATCTTGGGGTGCAAGGAAAAAACTCTGGGAGAAATTCCGGATCATGTTGTCGTTCCCAGTCAGATATCCAGTAACAAGAACCTGCACTCCCCCGTTAAAAGACTCTTGAGCATCTACAGACCTGATCTCTGCTCTGAACTGCTCATAGTTAAGTGACAATATTTTCTCATTGATTGCCTGTAAATTTGCCACAAAACCAGACAACATGAAAAACTTGGAAACTATAAACCTTCAAAACCGTAGGAGCTTTTTTGTTTTTTATCATGCTTCTTATCAATGAATGTTCTTCAAATACAAATCCTTTTAACCTTTCATCTTTCTTTGACAATTAATTGCAATAAATCCAACTCCTTGTGACTCACTTGTTTCAAGCCTAATTAGTTTCAGTAGATCCAACTTTCTTTAAGGAGAACCACCACAGCAGAATTCTCGCTTAAGCTATAAAATGAAACAACCCCATACTAGGAATTACAACTTCATTCATAAACCTCTTCATCTTTCCTCTAGCTTCTAAAACTGGATACATAAAGCTTAAAAATGGCGCTACCACTAAATAATAGAAAAATCAACCACCAAACCATAATATTGTCAGAATTAGCAGAATTACAATACAAAAGAGTATTTCAAAGATATAAAAAGTTTACTTGCATAGTTGTGGTGATGCTCATGCTGCCATCATCTCCGGGCCGCCCAAGCTTACTCATATCCTGATAAAACCTGTAAACAAGCTCCGGCGAGTGGTGCAGTATATGATAGTACTGTTGCACAAAGGCATTCCCAACCTACTCAAAGAA